AAATTGCTCTGCCTCTTAACGCAACACCAGTATAAATTTTCTAGCAGAATGTCTTAACCACGGCTCTCACATGGTTATTGCTCCACCACATAACCTAGAGTACTCCTCAGGCTTTTAACCTGAGCATTGCTCTCCCAGGGAGCAAGCAGGCCAACTCAGGGTCAGACTGCATTACGTATAGTGCAAACAAACCGTGCTTTTGTGCAACATCTGCCTATAGTCTAGGCTCTGAACCTGTAATTATGATCATCTGTTATCTCAGCATAGCTTGAAAGCCTGAAAATCTGTCAGTAGTAACATCCAGAAATTACTATAAAAAACGTGAATCCAAATACATAGAATTCTTTTGCAATGAGGACTAGCACTCTCTACAGAAGAATTAGTATTCAGACATTCCATATATATAAAAAAATATAAAAAGAGCACATCTCAGTGCAATATCCCCAAAGCAAATCTGCATTCATTCACTTCCACTTCAACAGAGTATCAAAGACTCCTTTTTCTATTTTAGAAATGTATTTTACTATTCATGATTAGAGCAATTATCCAGCACCTTCTGTAAGCATCATCTCTGTTCACAGCAGTAAATGGGCACAAGAATTTCATGGTCCTGAGGGATATGGGTCCCTGAATTTTAGGAAAGCAAACTTCCAGCTCTTCAGGGAGTTGGTCAATAGGACCCGCTGGGAGACTGCCCTCAGGACAAGGGAGCAGAACAGAGCTGGCAGATCTTTAAGGACACTTTCCATAGAGCACAAGAGCTCTCAGTCCCCAAGTGTAAGAAATCAGGAAAGGAAGGCAAGAGGCCGGCATGGCTGAGTGGAGACCTGCTGGGCAAACTACAGGGCAAGATGGGAATGCACAGGCAGGGGAAGGAGGGAGAGGGATCCCGGGAAGAGTATGGGGACGCTGCCCAGTTGTGTAGGGATGAGGTCAAGAGGGCCAACATGCAGCTAGAGCTGAACTTGGCAAGGGATGCAAAGAAGGGCTTCTACAGGTATGTCAGCCAGAAAAGGAAGGTCAAAGAAAGCGTACCTCCCCTTGATGGGCAAGGCTGGCAGACTGGTAACAACGGATGAGGAGAAGGCTGAGGTACTGCATGACATCTTGCCTCAGTCTTCACTGGCAGTGTCCCTTCCCACACCTCTCGAGGTGATGCACAGCAAGACAGGGACTGGAGGAGCAAAGTCCCTCCCACTGTAAGAGAAGATCAGGTTCAAGACCACCTGAGGAACCTGAACATGCACAAGTCTATGGGACCTGACGAGATGCATCCCAGAGTCCTGAGGGAACTGGCTGATGTAGTTGCCAAGTCACTCTCCGCGGTATTTGGAAAGTCCTGGCAGCCAGGTGAAGCCCCTGGAGACAGGAAAAAGGGAAACATTGCATCTGTTTTTAGAAAGGACCACCCTGGGAACTACCGACCCGTCAGCCTCACCCTCTATGCCTGGGAAGATCCTGGAGCAGATCCTCCTAGAAGCTCTGCTAATGCACACAGAGGACAGGGAGGTGATTCGAGACAGCCAGCGTGGCTTCAGCAAGGGCAAGTCCTGCCTGACCAACCTAGTGGCCTTCTGTGATGGAGGGACCACATCAGTGGACAAGGGAAGAGCTACAGATGTCGTGTATCTGGACTTCTGTAAGGCCTTTGACGCAGTTCCACAGAACATTCTTCTCTCTAAATTGGAGAGATACGTATTTGATGGGTGGACTGTTAGGTGGATGAGGAATTGGTTGGATGGTTGCATCCAGAGGGTAGTGGTCAACGGCTCAATGTCCAGATGAGATCAGTGACAAGCGATGTCCCTCAGGGGCCTGTTTTGGGACCAGTACCATTTAATATCTTCATCAGTGACATAGACAGTGGGATCAAGGGCATCCTCAGCAAGTTTGCAGATGATTCCACACTGAGCAGTGCAGTTGACATGCCTGAGGGACGGGATGCCATCCAGAGGGACCTGGACAAGCTCGAGGAATGGGCTCAGGTGAACCTCATGAGGTTCTGCACAGGGTCCTGCACCTGTGTTGGGGCAACCCCCGGTATCAGCACAGGCTGGGGGTGAAGGGATGGAGAACAGCCCCATGGAGAAGCACTTGGGGGTATTGGTGGATGAAAAGCCAGACATGAGCCGGCAATGTGCACTTGCAGCCCAGAAGGTCAACCGTGTCCTGGGCTGCCCCCAAAGTCACGTGGCCAGCAGGACGAGGGAGGGGATTCTGCCCCTCTGCCCTGCTCTGGGGAGACCCCCCTGCAGTGCTGCGTCCAGCTCTGGAGCCCTCGGCACAGGAGAGACATGGACCTGCTGGAGCGGGGCCGGGAGGACAGGCTGGGAGAGCTGGGGGGGCTCAGCCTGGAGCAGAGAAGGGTCCGGGGAGACCTTACTGCAGCTGCCAGGGCTGAAAGGGGCTGATAGGAAAGATGGGGACAGACTTTTTAGCAGGGCCTGTTGCGATAGGACAAGGGGTAATGGTTTTAGACTAAAAGAGGAGAGATTTAGACTAGATATAAGGATGAAATTCTTCCCAGTGAGGGTGGTAAAACCCTGGCCCAGGTTGTCCAGAGAGGTGGTTGATGCCCCATCCCTGGGAAGATCCCAGGTCAGGTTGGACGGGGCTCTGAGCAACCTGATCTAGTTGGAGATGTCCCTGCTCATGGCAAGGGGGTTGGACTAGATGAGCTTTAAAGGTCCCTTCCAACCCAAACCATCCTGTGATCCTATGAATTTAGGTTTATTGTTTATTGCTTCAACAAACAAAAAAGTAAGAGTCACAGGCTAGAAAATTCCTCCTGTTCCCTAGGACCCACTGTGGTTCTGATGAAGCATACGGCTTCACCAAATTTCTAGTTAAAAGGGTGACAAATCTTAATTAATTTGGAGTAATGCAGAGGACAGGTTCACTTTCTACCTCTAGACGAGCTTTGTTTTCTTCAACACATGGCAGCCACATACAGCTTTAAGTTTCTAAAGTCAATACAAATAAGTCATTTAATGTGATCAGCGTCACGTAATCTGCAATTCCCCCTCTTCTGCAAGGGCCTCTGCATCCCATACTGGAGTCTATACCTCCAGGGTAGCTTACCATTTGGACGAACTCCTAGGAAAAGGTTTTGGCCTTCAGCACAAGAAAATATAAAGAGAACGTTCATTGGAAAGAACTGAGGCATCAAATCTGCTCTGGGAGAGTACTGACATTCACTTCATGACACTCTTCATTCAACTGCCAAAGCAGTGAATGAGCTAAAGACTTCAGGACTGCTTACTCCCTGCTACAGCTGGTAAAGCACAAAACAACTGACAAAGCTGGGCTCAGCGCTCTCAGCCTGGTGCTTACAGCCCCCAGACGCGCTTCTAGTGGGCCACTGCTGAAGGTGGCTTATACTTACTTGTGAGCATCAGGTTTTGCAGGACGTGGAGTTGACAACCTGTGAGTAGCAGGTTTTGCTGGATGAGGAGTTGACAGCAGTGGCTTGTACGCTGCAGCATGGACAAATGCGGGTGTCTTCATGGAAACTTCTAGGGAAAAGAAGTACTTGAGGAACTATTTTCCGAGTTCCTGCAGCAGGCAGTGCTGTAGCCACAGACAGAAGCCCAGCCAGCTTTCCACACGTCTGCTCCGGTGCCACACTGCCTGCGGTCAAGCTATGGTTCCACAGCACCCTGAACCAGCGCGACGGCTGGCTGCTTGCAATTCCACCCGCCCCACAGGCTGGTGTTTCCCTCACGCCAGGTCCAGCCCGTCAGCCCCCAGACAGGACCAGCAGGCTGGGCAGGGTGTAGGAACACACGCTTGGGGCCGGGCTGCAGGGGCTGATGGCTGGGTCTACTTAGGCTGCCAAGAAGCTGCAGCTTCTTTTCCCAGAGGGAACTTCAAAGTCTGCAATCTACCTCATTGCCATCTTGCTAAATCAGTGGCAAATTCTCCTGAACACAGGGCAACAAAAGCAGAGCACCCCATTACAAGGGTCAGCCTGTGAACATCTCCCATATTCACAGATTTTCAGAAATTCCCTCCAGCTAAGGCTAAGGCTGTAGCCAGTACCTCGCCTCTTCTTTGCCGTGACCTACCCATCCTAGTTTCTTCCAAGTCTAATCTGCATCCTCTAACTTCACTCTTGAACTTCTTCACTTCTTAACACGTGAGAGCAGGAAAGAAAACCTTAACAGAATCGAAATACCGAGCAGCTTCCCGTCTAGAAGAGGAGCGGTCACGGAGGGCTTCTTGCCTGCCAGTTTCCCTTGCAAGCAGAGTGCAGCCCAAGAATCCGGCATTTCTGGCAGTGGTGTCAACTTCACAACCCTCTGTAAAAGCTAGGACACCTGCCCCATTACAGAAGATGACAAGCCCAGGTACTAGAGGCCTCAGGTACTACTGAGAGTTAAACTCCACAACTCAAAGGGTCAGGAGTTTCTTGGAGAAAGCAGGGCTTGGGTGAACTACCATGCTTCCTTGCACTAGCTTCTTCTGAAGAATTATTTCTGTATGCTGGAGGGACAGGGAGCAGGATGCAGGGCAAGAGGCTAGCGATGCTGAGGTTTCCGAGGTCAGTTTTATGACAAGAGTGCGTAATTTTTCATCTTTTCTTCCTCTCCTTGTCCAACGAGACCTGTAAGATGCTACTCTCAACTGTTCCACCCTATCAGCAGAGATCTCTTCATCAAGACCTTTCCATCTCTTCATACAGCTGTGTTAAAGATAACCATATTAGCACACTATTGTAGACACCCTAAGACCACCTATAACTTTCCTTGTGGCAAAAGTGTACCAGTTCAACTGGTGTCTTTGTGCCTTCCACACATCGATATCCTCATTACAGCTGAATTTCCCCACAATGCCTCAAATCATGGCAACGGGATTCTTTTAGGATGTCCTTAGTTCAGTATTTTTATTTCAGGGTATACTGTACTTCAAAAGACTTTAAGACCAGTCCCAAAAGACACCACTAAAACACACTCCGGGCATTCTCAAACGTGGCCTGGATCAAAGAGAACTCAGTCTGATGTATATGTTCTTCCAAAAGGCTTAAGCACTCTTGGGGCAACAGCGCAGACCAATGCAGTGTCTAAAGAACTGTTCAGAAACTGACAATTCCTCTCCGCTCTCTGGAAAACCAGCCTACACTTTTGGTTAACTGGAAAGGAAATCTCTAGCTACATGTATAAAATATGGTGTTCTAAATTAGTTTTCAAGGCTGGAGTCACATAAATGGCTGTGGAAACAGCAGTTCAATGCTAAGACATTCAAAAGCATGAAGTTAGGAGTCAGGAAAGAAGGAAGCATAAAATGGATATCCCTATGTCACTGTATAAAATGGCTTTGCACTCAGTTTTGTCTATTTGTGTACCTCCATTATCTTCACCTCAAAAAGTACAAGATGATCTAAGTCCCTGAACCCCTAATGAGTGGCTAACAATCTGGCCCTGGGAATAGCAGCCAACAGCTTCCCCTGGACTGCCTGAAGGACTAAACAGTTAATAACGTTATTAACCCATGTTGCTCCTCAATCTATCAAGGGATAACAGGGAAAAATTTTCTCCAACTGCCTTCTGCTACTGCTGCAATAGTTTTCTTACCTTCACTCTCAGGGTCTTCAGCTTCATCCTCAGTAGAGTCTTCTTCCAGACCATCCAATTCTACCATGACAGCCTGGTCCTCTAGTTCATCTGCTTGTTCAACAGCTTCTTTTAATGGCTTCATCCCAGATTTTTCAGAGGAGGAAAAAGCATGAGAATGCCTGCCCAGACTTCCAGCTCCAACACCTTTGGCAATCTCACGTTCTAGAATTCCAAAACAGGAAAAAATACATTGCTGAAACAAGTATCATAGCACTCATAAGAATGAAACCCAGCTTTCCATTCCTGACAATGTTGCCATCTATTATATTGCTATCTTCAGTCATTAGCGTGTCAATAGACTAAGCTAGATAAGCTAAAGTACTGATGAATCCTCAACTTTTCCCTCTACTACATCTAAGTGTGCAGGTCACAGGAAAAAAATAGCACTTGGTAATGTAGAGAACCCCATGAGATTTGAGTGAAATTTTTATCTGAGCTCCTTTTAAATGAATTTCCTTTAATAAGAACTTTTATCTCAAAAGAAGTTTTACCAAAGCCTTAGTGCAGCATCTTGAACACAGACGACAGAGCAATTCAGGAAAAGTAACTTGGGAGATCCTGATCTGCCAACACACTCACATGGTCTCCAAATTTTATCAGTCTTTGCCTGATTCTGGAACTTCCACTGGGAAATTTTAACTAAAGATGCCTTCTGCAATTATATATTTCTAAACACTATTGCCAATGCAGTTGTGGTTTCCATTTGAGCAGAATGCAGTCTTTCAGCTTAAAATGTCAAAATTAGTTTGATATTTTCCCAGTATTTAGCCCAGATTCCAGAATGCAAAGAGTTAACAAGTCTCTCTCCCAGCATCAATGCCAATAATGCAGCTTGAGAAGTCTTTGGCATCAGAGAGAGTCTTCAGTATTGGACGTTGTCCTCACCAGCCCTGCGAAAGCCTTGGTGTTCAACACTGCCTTCTGCTATTCCCTTTCCTTCTGAAGGGGCCTTTTCTGCTTCAACTCTGGCATCCTGTCCTGTAGCTATCTGCCATTCTGCTTTTTTGGTCAGCTTCTTCTCGAAATGTTCAGAATATCCAGCATTTACACGATGCTCTGCAGCTAAAATAGGAAATTCTATCATCAGTCTTGCCTACAAAAAAAACCCCAAATCAACCACCAGCATACAGTTTAACAACCACCAAAATTTACTCATAACTCAGCCATAGCCATAAGCTACAAATAAGGGAAGCAGATGCAGTTCCCTTCCAAAAGTTTACAGCTGAGAAATGCACAACTTTTCCTGCCTTTGCTCTACAGTCACCTAATTACATCAGATCCCAATGAAGGAATTTTCCTTATCAGTAAGCAGAGCTCCTCCACATATGCCATCTCTACATCTATTCTCACTTCTGGTGATTGTGTGAAAGATCAATTTATTTTCCTTCAAGTCTAACAGTACATGGAGTTTGTGCTCAGATTCTCCTCCCCATTTCCTCATTTTTTCTGAATAAACAATTCTGGAAGAGATATGCTGCACTACAACAAGGAGAGCACCTAGCAGTTGTTTTAATCACCCTAGCAGGCAGGGTAAGGAGAAATAAATGGACACATGATGTGCATGTCTTTAAAAACTTCAACTACTGAAGGAGCTACTGAGGAGTACTTAAGCACTGCTCTTCCCTACATACTGGAACTATAGTTGACACGTCTGTTACCATGCAGCTCAGTTCCAGCAGAAACCCACGCAGGTAATTATTCGGAGAAATCTTACTGGGAACTCTCATAGTACTGTCACTCGCTGAAGGGTTCAGAAATCTTGGCTGAGCCCAAAACCAGAAGCCATAAAAGTGGATTTTTACCATCCTCTCCAGTGACTGGAAGGTTTCACACTCAAAAGTACAAGTGTCAAGGCCTTGGGAGCCTCAAGCCCCAGCGAAGGTGATACGGACATTTGGCCAAAGGTGGTGCAAAAATCAGTAATACCAATCTCACTAACCAGAATATTGGGCTCCCTACACCAATGCAGAGCAAAATCTTGCCTAAAGTTAAGAGAAATATTAACCAGCTTTGTGGCGAGAAGACAAAAGCTCAACTCTACATTAAGACTGCCTAAGGCAGACAGGCACCAGTGAGTCTCCCACACTACCGGCCCCTTGCTGGGATGCAGTACTTTAACAGTGGAGTACCGGATGCTATTGACACGTTCACGTCTTCATTTTTACTGATTTCTTCACCTGTTGCTAGCAGCAGTACCTCCTGTAGTTTGGTATAACCTGCCAGTGCTCGTTGCTCCTCTCTAGTTCCTGCACTGAGAGATGAGGGAGCTGTTTGTTTCAATTCGATTGCTGAATCACCTCCTCCATGCTGCTCAAGGCTTTTCTTTTTAAACTTCTTATACCTCACTCTCACAGTAATTGTCTTTTTTCCAGGCTAAGCAGTCCTTATCTTTAGTCATTCAATGTACAGAAACTGCTCCATAGATTTGATTAATGGTAAAACTCTTTTTCTCTGTACCTTCTCTAGTTCCATTAAATCTATTTAGAGATGGAGAGGTTAGAACTGCACGCAGTGTTCAAAAGGTGAGCATGACAATCGTTTCTGTTAGTAGCACAGTGACATTTTGTCATCTCCTCCTTTCATAATAATTTTTACATGTTATTTGCTCTTATGACCATCCCCCAAGCTTTGAGATGCTGTTCACAGAACTATAACAATTCTGAGGTGACTTTCATTGGTCTCAAGAGTCACATCCCATTTAAACTTCACACTCCACAGGTACACCCAAGTAAAACTGTAACATGACAAAAGAATCAAGAAAGATTACAGGATGCCAACCTTACGCAACTGTAAATTTAGAGGTGTGGAATATCTACTACCTTAACGACCTACTCTAAAAGAACTGTTTACAACAGAAGTCTGTATTAACCAGATAAAAATGCAACATAACGCATTTCGCTGCTGCACCTAGTATGTGTAAGCAATTACTTGTGGGGACTGCAAGTATTCAGTTTAAAGTTCTAATAACAAAACTGTTGGTGCTATAGACTGTGCAGTTTCCATACTCCCATAAGGTAATTCATGTGAAACTTGAGACGTAATTAAGCGTAGAGAACGCTAAACCCACGTGGCAATGGTTGCCTCTCATTCCCAGACACTGGCAAAGGAACAGTGGGAAAGACTTAAAAAGGATTCTAAACTGGAGTCCGGAAAATGAAATTCAACAACACACAGGAATTTGTGCCCACACATACCCCAAAGCTTTATATAACGATGGGATAACTCCTGCCACCCTCAGCATCTGTGCAGTTTTTACCATCTTATTCTAAAGCAAAAGGATTTCAGAGAAAACTGAGAAGGTGCCTGTGAAAGCAGGCAACTTGCATGATTTGCTCTCTTCCAGAAAAAAGGAGGTGTTAAGGCCCCACCTACAAGTGACAATCTTTATTACTTAAGGGAGAGCAACCTTCAAGCCCTTGCCTTAAGAGAAAAAGATGCTGGTTAGTACTGGAGAAAGATAATGGCCAACATGGCTTAAATAAATATAGTAAACCATTAAAATGTATGCGAACAAAACGTGTGATTAGCCAGACATATTCCTTGCCAAGAGGGAGCTATTCATCTTTCCTATGGGAAGATGAGCAGTACTATGGACCTACCAAAAAAGTATGGACCTTTATTCCATTTGCAGTCACTGTGAACAAAGCAAATACTGACAAGGAAGCACATGAGCAAGTCACAGCCTACTTTTAGAAAGCTCGTCTAGAAATGCTCAGTGTCTCTAACATGACTTGAATTAAATCATCTCCAGCATCTACTGCACAATAAAGTCTTATTTTACTCTGAAAATCACCTGAAAAACTCTTGGTTTTAAACAAAGTACTCCAGTCCCTTGCAACACTGAAAGCACTGCTTACCCTCTCTGAAAATCTCTTCCTGTTCCACTTCGTTCACTGTATTAGCCATCTCTTCTTCTGTATCGCTTACATCTAGGTCTTCAATTATATAGGACACAACTTCTCTCAAAGACATGCTGAAAGATCTCTTAGGCTTTAGAGTGACTGGGGATCCCAAACATTTACTTGAACTTCTGGACGACAAAGAGGAGCTCCATCTATTAACTGCTAGAAATTGAGAGCATTAATGTGCCCCAGTATATTTTTAAACTTTCTTTTAGCTTTTGTGAGAAGTAAAAAAACAACCAAGCAAAGAGAGGAATACCCACAAGAAAGAGCTTAGGAAGTCACGTTGTATCTTAAGAACCAGTTGGAAAAGTCCTTGCAACTATTTTTCAGTTCACACTGAGAAGCAACAATGACATCAGCTACCTTTGGTAAAAGAGCAGAACCATGTAACCATTAACTTCTGACATTAATGCCTTACAAACTCCAGCACCTTTCAGATGTGCTCTCACTGCCCCCCTCCTCTTCCTCTCATTTGATCAAGTCCCCTGTTCCATGTCCTCCACATGTCTCGCCACATTATCTGTTTCCCCTGAAAGTGCCTACCACTAGGCTCTTCAGAGCAACTCATCTTTTTTTCTGTTCATCCCTTGTCCTTTGAAAACAACTTTTCCCACAAAGCTTGCCACAGACAACTCTCCAGAAGCAAAGTATGGTGCGACAGTTCACCAGGCATTAATTTCTAAGCTTTCCATGGCAAGAACTCCTCTCCTGCCTTGAACAGTACTGAACACACCAACCATCCTTCCAATATCATTTCCGTGGTCCTTTTGACAAAGAATCATAAAAAAACCTAAATGAAACTTTACCTGTCCATACTTCATGGAAAGCATAAGGAGTTTTGACCGAAGAACTGCACAAAGCTATTTGCTGCAGCAGATCCTGTCCTGGCTAGCTGCCCCAGGGTCACGAAGCAGAACGTTTTAGGCTTACAACCATGCCTTGGGGCCTGAGGAAAATGTACTCCCATTTACACAGCCAGGATAAGGTATTTACAGGGAAATTAATGCAGGAGAGAGATATCAGACACCAGGGAAAAACTAGCAAGTGATAGGACCTGCAAAGCATTGGTGACTAGGGAGGTGACTACCTCTGGCAAGGGATTTTTAAGGCCCTGGAGACAGAGAGGCGGTTAGCTGTGACAGATAAATGACCCTACTAAGGTAAAAATCTAGACTAGTAACCTCCTGAGACTCCTTCTAACTCTGTCTACAGCTCCTACACATTGTCTCCTTATCTTACCATATTTGTGACCAATTTACGGTGTCCACTTCCAGGCTCCCTTATACAAGGGAGATGGACATACTGGAGAGAGTCCAGCAAAGAGCCACCAGGACAACTAATGGACTGGAGCATCTCTCAGTGTGGGATCTCATCAATATATGCAAGTATCTGAAGGGAGGATGTAAAGCAGACAGAGCCAGGCTCTTTTTAGTGGTGCCCAGTGCCAGGAGAAGAGGCAACGGGCACAGACTGAAACACAGGAGACTCTGAACATAAGGAAACACTTTTTCACTGTGAGCACTGAACAGGTTGCCCAGAGTGTGCAGTCTCCATCCTTGGAGACACGTAAAAGCTGCCTGGACACGGCCCTGGGCAACCTGCTCTAGGCAGAGGGGCTGGAGAAGATGACCTCCAGAGGTCCCTTCCTACCTCAACCACTCTGTGATTTCCTATCTGCTAAGCCCAAAGTCCTAACCCATAGTACTCACTACCAACCACCACCCTCTTCTGAAACAGAAAACTGTTCCATGGGGTTACCCTGCTGGGAATGATCCTGTTTATCTTCTTGCTGGTTTGGGGGTGTTTTTGGAAACACACAAGTCATTCCGTCAGCATGCTCACGATCAAGGATTAAGTCCTCAGCGTATCTTTGGGTCCTTCCCTCATTTGTGTCCCCACTGGATACCACGCCCACCAGCCTTGCTTCCTCTTGAGCTGGATCAGAAATCTTGCTTCTCTGTGCTGAAGTTTTTGAATCCGATAGTGGTGGTTCAAGAGCAGAAGGCTTATTTTGGCTCTGTTCATCAAACTGAGGCTGAACAAAGAGCTCCGTGTTACTCAGCATGATTTCCGCATCACTTGTCAGCGTGGCTACTCGAATCCCAGATGCTGTTCGTGAGTCCACAAGATAATTCTGTGCTGTTTAGAAAGTTTTAAAACAAGTTTTATGTGAAAAACTGTTCAAGGTCATATAGACACACATTTATTACCAGGACTTGCATAATTCAAAATTTAAGTCATTCAACCAAATTTTATTTATCCTCCACAGATCAAACACTGGAACTGTATCACCGCACTTCAGTGTCCCTAACTCTCCCTACCAAACCATCTCCCCAATACCCACAGTTATGAACACGATCCCAAACGATTCCTGTGGTATAAATTCACCAAACTGGAAGGAGCACATATTTAAGTGCATGGAATCAAAGCAACTACAGATGCAGAGCCTCATTCTAATCTTGCCTCCCCAACTACACTGGATTTCTGTGAACATGCTAGTAGCCTTTACATCGTAAAAGAGAGACCACTCTTCAGTAACTGCTTCTAAAAAATCACCTTATATAACGCCCTCCCTCCCGAAACAGAAGTAACGATGCAAAAGAAACCTTTTCTCTTCCGCATGTTCTGTTCCACTCCGCCTTCAAAAGCTTCCATGTCAATAGCTTTGCGATTTTTCGGCCTCCGGAGTAAGCCTCTCTTTTCAGTAGCATCTGGTGGGATCAAGGAACCAAGAGACATGCGAAGAGATCTGTAAAAAGAGGAGGGAAGAAATAATTTTCCAAACTTCCACACTCACCTTTTACCCTCAGATTACGCACATGCTGCCAGGAACAGTGAGACATTTCACAAATCCCTTAGCTAGAAGGAATTTCCCAAAAAAAAAGCTTGAAGATTACATGCCAGTCTACCTTAAACAAATAGTTTAACTTCATGATGTCACCTAACATCAGGATATGTATCACAGAGATCTCCTGATCTCTGTTATCAGGACTGTTTTACAGTGTCCTGATCCGGTGTGCAGAGTCCTGATCTCTGTGATCAGACTGTTTTACAACCTCCTACCTTGAGAGGGCTGCAACGATATAGCTGACAAAAGGTTCAGGAATTTTTAAAATTTTAAGTAAGAAAAAAAGGGAAAACAAAAGTTTGAGAGTAAAGACATCCTCTAGATGACGGCAGGGTTGTAGGAGGACTTCAGAACAAGTCCAAGAAACCGCTCATAGTATCAGTATTCTCAGTAAAGTAGAGCTACCAACACACTGTTAACTTTTTTGAGGATGGGAGACTACAGGCAACAGCTGCAGCAAAAAAGGTGAAATTGCTAACCATGACTAGGTTCATTAGCAAAGTATCACAGAACCTTTGAGATGGGAGTGACCTTTAAAGGTCATCTAGTACACAGGCAGCTCAGGAAAATGTCTTTGACTTGCTAAAAAGCCTTTAAAATCCGGGAAAGTTGGACTAAAGACTGCATAGATGCAACTGATGTGAAGAGTCAAATTAATGGGCAGAGATAATATTCTAAGGTATATTGTGTACTGATTTATTGTTGGAAACATGAGAATTAAAGGAAAAAAGGAATGATCCTCACAAGTAAAAAGAGGAGCAATAGTAGCAATACAAGCTCAACCAAGCTGGGCATAGAGTGCAAAGCCACGATTTCTGAAAATCACAAGGTATGTGGTGTAAGACCTTCAAATTCCATCACCAGAGTAGGAGAGGATTGTGTTAGTAATAACAGAGGTCTTAATCACGAACCCAGGTATCTGCACAGTTCTTCACAACTACAGAGGTGATGAATCAAGGCAGCAACAGTTAGGGCAGCCAGAAGTTAAGACATTTTAGTTTAAACTCACTGAGCCAAAGCACTGCTGTCCAACGTTGACTGAGCTAGAAAAAGATTTGTGACACGTTAGTTGAGAAAGTACTCTAGCTGAGAAATTACCCTCTACACAACAGACTACAGAACACCCCAAAGATCTTCCTCTTTCTATAGTTTATGCTATAATCCTCAAAAGTTACGTTTTCGTGAGAACAGGATTGGATGACAGGCTCACATTACAATTTCTTGTCTGCGTTTCGAAACTGCATATTAGAATTCTAATAAGCAATTTCTGAAAGGCCAACAAAACAGTTATTTCAAAGATAATTTAATATGGCACATGCCCTCACATTCAATAATGTTAATCTTACCACATTAATAGTGAGATGCTAGGCTAGGGCCTCAGTCACAACCACCCTTCAGCAACCCAAACCAAACATTAAAGCTTTAGAAGTACAGGTAACTACTCCACAGATTGTTGGGGAAGCTGTAACTCAAACCGGTTCTACTCCCAAAGTCCCCAAAATCCAGAAGCAGGTCTGGAGAGCAGTGACATAATCATGCTCATTCTAGAACATACTAGAGCACATCCCCTCTGCTTTTACAGAGCTGCTGGCATCTTAGCAGGGCATGCTCAGACCAGGCACCAGGCTAAAGAAAGACAAGTTTATTTTTTTGACCACAGGCGAGTTAAGGTGGGATTCAGCTCCAAATTAAAATATCCAAACACAGGTATCTATGTTCCCATTATAGTCAAACATGACTAATCAAATGGAGGCATCTACTTTAGGGTGAGCTGAATCACCTGCCATACTCCACCGACTAGATCTCCCGCAAACTTTAGGAGGACTCCAGTTACCTAGCGTACACATGGCCACAGATCGTCCGTAATTTGGAGCTGAGACATCGGTGTCTGTAATTTGGGGCTGAACCCCACCCTTGAATTCTAATCCAGTTGCTACTGCTAGTAGGATATGTAAACCAAGGTGAGGTGTTTTATCTGCCCCTGTTAAATTGCATCTAAAATGAAAGTTCTATTTACCAAATTCGCAAATTTATGTTTAAAGGGAAGACTTATTCCAATATAAAACATTATTTATTTTACAAAACTGCAACATCCTTTTTCCTCAAGCAAGAACTTTGTAACTTATTTGATATAATTGCAACGAAAAGTATGCAGCTTGTTGTATTTTCAAGTTTCTGGAATTGAAGGGAAGACAGGGATTGCTTCCTTTGGAGACGCTTCAAAACTCAAAGAGCACCAAGTTGGAAAAACAGTCAAGAAATTACACACAGTCAGGGCAGAGCCTGTAACTTGGCTCAAAAAGGCATATTTTAAATTTGATAGGAGGGGCTTTTACCTTCTCCGCTAACCCCTTTGCACAAGATACTACAATCTTGCTTCCAAGCATACAACTGCCCAGCTAAGAAGTTACTAAGGACTAAACTGCAGCAGATGAACATCAGTTGACAGCAAATGCAGTGCTGAACACGGCGATTTTTGACCGCGGCCTTACCTTCGTTCTGGGGAAGTCGTTTGTCTGCTGCTCTCTCGAATTCAGAAATGCTGAATTTCTTTCTCTTCTTAGTCATACGGAATGCAGTGATAGATGTGTCCTCAGGAACAAGGTCTGGCAGTTGCATTTCCAGCCTACCAATACAAACCAAGCCTTTAACAAAGGACAATGTTATCATGTAGCTACTCCAAAAAAGTCCCTGTAACGTTGCTGAAAAGTAAGTTAAAATTATTTGTCCTTGCTGCAGCAGAAGCACAGAACTAATCAGTCATTAGCTCAGCAAATGCAGGAACATGTCATTCCCTCCTATTAAGGAGATTTCACAAAGAGAATCAAAACTCAAGTGTATATTCAAAACAACAGGGCTGAGAAAGGTCAGGCTAGAGTAGAAGCTTGGACTTCCAAGAAGCTCCATAGCTCTCTTCTCCTAACAGCACACAGGAGCAATTACTTTGTCAATTGTTACAGTGTAAAGGAAAAGCCATCATCATAGAACGACATTAGGTCTCACAAAGCACATTGGTACATGGAATAGACATGCAATATCCCCACCAGGCACTGGATCAGATCAAAAAAAAGACTTAAAATGAAAAAAAAAAAAAATTTTGTTAAAGTCTATACATCTTTAACCTCAACAACCAGATAACACACAAAATATAAAACGCTGCGAAGATCCAACCATCTGACCTTTTCATTTAAGACAGACCAATGAGAAGCACATTTGGAGCTGTCCAAGAACTACAACAAGCAAAAATCAAGAAGGAATTAAAATAATACTTCTCATCATCCTGAATTTAAAAAAAAAAACAAACCCCCAAAACAAGCTACCACACCTAACAGGAAACTCTGATTTCTCTTCCTCTATTAAAAAACATAAATACAGAAAGCTTACCTAATATTTTAGATGACCTGTTTAAGGTTACTTATAGTTGATGCAAAATGTTTAGTTATAAAAGACAAAACACAGGAAATCACATTATTTAGAACGGTCTCTTTTGCAGTAAAGCAAAAATACACCAAAGTCTTGTGACAAAACTGGCTAAAGCAAATTAAGACCTGCCACCACTACTGGTTTTCTTCTATTTTGTAACAACATGGTAGGAAACAAACCACACTTCAGCCTCTCGGGCAGGCCTACTGACTTAAAATATTAATGGAAGCTAAACATGAATAAAAGCAGCTGAGCCTCAAGCAAACCTCACCTCCAAACCACTCTAAAGGGAGGCAGTGACCCCTAGCAGCCCAAAACAAGGACAACCACAAAGCAGCAACACCATAAAAAGCCACAGCAGCCGCTATTCTGAACACAAGACACAGCAGTCACTCATGACACGTGGGCATCGTCAGCACATGGCCTGTAGCCTCAGCGAGATCCAAGAACTTCTATTTTAGTACGTCACACAACTAAGAAAAGTAGGCTGCCATCAGGAGACTTATTGTATCCAACGCTTTCCGCTACAAAAAGATACTAAAAGTCTGCATTTACGAAGAGGGGCCAAGCACAAACCTGCAGTATTTACTATTCAGTCCCTCAGCCCCAGTGATTCCTATTTTTAGAGCTGGAGACGTATTTCTGAATATCCCATTGTTTGAATGCAATTCTGATCACTGAAACCAGTAGTAAAGAAATCCTGCCCCCCAATCCCATGGTCGCTGTACCTGGTAGTGTAAAACAATTAAAATTAAAATTTAAAAAACATTATTTACGTGCTGGAAATCCTCTTAGACGGGAGCTCTGATCGAGCCTCTTCTGTTTCTTCATGGTTAGATATCTGAGGTGCCAGAGGTGAAACTTGTTGTTCTGCCAACAAACCAAAATATTTCCTTTTCACAGTTCAACCCAGCAAGAATGCAAAAATGCAGCAGTGTCAAATATACACTACAAATTACATTTATTAACGGGTTAAAATAAAGACCTGGTGAAAATTATTTGTGTTCTACTCCTAGGAAGGCTTGCACGTACAATGACAAAGCCAAGAATGACAAACGGGGCTCCAGGTACCAGAGCTGAGCTGAAGTTTGCAGCGGTGCGTGCCTCTCGAATTTACACACACTCCTACAGCTAAAGGCGGCACAAGGATCACATGCTTGCTCATCAGGATAAGAAGACTGACTGAGGAGGATTTTCAAGAATATGATTTCATCAATAGAGACGGTCTTTGAGACAGAGCTGTATCACATCACCTCGTTCTGCTGCCACTGCTGCGATTACTCATGTAAAGTCACACAGTGGTCTGCATTTCTGTTCCACATAACAGGGTAAGAATAACAGGCTACGGGAGAACACCTCCTATCCTCAACTCCGTCAAAATATTGTCTTTCTGTTCTGTTTTCCTGAAAAAAATATACTTACGGGTCCGGATGATTCTCTTGAGCATCATCCGTGGCGTGTCATTGTCAAGACCAGGAAACACAGTCGGTCTCTGCTTCAGCAAGGTGCTTCTGCCAGAATTCTTCTCCTTTCCTGAATCAGACACAGTCTAAAGAGAGAAATCAGACATGCAATTCAAAAATCATATTTTCATCATCAAAGATCACAGAATCACTAAAGTTGGAAAGGACCTTCAAGATCATCAAGTCCAACCATTAATCCAGCGCCACCATGTTCCCTAAACCATGTCTTGAAGCACCACATCCACACATTTTTTGAACACTTCCAGAGATGGTGACTCCACCACCTCCCTGGGCAGCTTGTGCCAATGCTTGACCACCCTCTCGGTGAAGAAATTTTTCCTAATATCCAGCCTAAACTTCCCCTGGCGCAACTTGAGGCCATTTCCTCTCATCCTATCGCTGGTTACTTGGGAGAAGAGACAAGCACCCTCGTCGCCACAACCCCCTTTCAGGTAGTTGTAGAGAGCGATAAGGTCTCCCCTCAGCCTCCTCTTCTCCAGACTGAAGTTCCCCAAGACTGAAGAACCCCAGTTCCCTCAGCCACTCCTCATCAGACTTGTGCTCCAGACCCCTAACCAGCTCCGTTGCCCTTCTTTGGACACACCCCTCAACATCCTTCTTGTAGTGAGGGGCCCAAAACTGAACACAGGATTCAAGGTGCAGCCTGACCAGTGCCGAGCACAGGGGCACTATCACTGCCCTGCTCCTGCTGGCCACACTATTTCTGATACAGGCCAGGACGCTGTTGGCTTTCTTGGCCACCTGGGCACACTGCCGGCTCATGTTCAGCTGGCTGTCAACCAGCACCCCCAGGTCCTTTTCTGCCGGGCAGCTCTCCAGCCACTCCTCCCCAAGCCTGTAGCGTTGCCTGGGGTAGATGCATGGGGTAAGATGAACCTTAACATCAAAAGCTTTCATCATCTGTCTCCTAATAAAAACCTAAGCTAGCTAACATGAAACATTTTCCAAACTCCCCAAAAGAAATCGTGCACATTTGCTTTTTAACAATGCTGGCACTTCATTTTTGGGTGGAAGACAATTCACAAGGCTATAACATGGAGGCGGGTTTCAATGCACAATTCTCATCGTGGACAAAAGCCTGAGGGACTTGAGAGCACAGTCCATGGCCCTTCGTCCCTCACAGCCCTGACCTAAAACAACCCAAAAAGGGGAAAGAAAAACATAACCCAGCTGGAAGGCTGCAACGGCCCTGACTATTCGGCGAGCACGAGATTCAGGGGTTTCGCCCCGTTTCCGACATCTAGAGGCGAGCAAAGGGGCAAGGGAGCGTCCTTTGCTCCCCGGTCCCTGCCCCAGGGGCCTCATTTCTCCCTCGCACCGCGCGGGAACGGGCGGGCAGCGCCGGGCGGCCCCGGCGGAACGGCC